TCTCTCTCTCTCTCTCTCTCTCTCCCTTCCTCTTTTTCTCTCTCTCTCTCTCAAAAATAAATAAAAAATTAAAAAAAACTTTTTTAAATGATGGAGGGTCTTTTCTCGTCACCTGTCTACTATTTTGCTACGAACATTGGGCGGACTCTTCTGTTAAAACTCCACGCCCCTTCTCCAGAACTCAAGTTTCAGCTCTTGAATTTAATTCATAAACCAGGGCTAGCCCATTCCCCAAAACTGCATGGTGCAGCTGTACCTGAAACAATGTTGTCTGCTTCTGAAAACCCCTTCCTGAGGCTTCCTTTCTCTATCATCAGCTCAGGCCCATAAAAGGAGTCATTTTTAATAGCATCCTGAAGACCAGAAAGATGTTTCAGTGATTGGAACTTCAGGAGAAGGAAGATCATTTCCCACCAGGGGGAAGAGAAGCTGTTGGAACCAGGCGTCTTACACGGACTTAAACTAAGCTCGCATGCAGCCCAGGAGTCACATACCCCCGTTTCCTCAGAGATAGTTGAACACCCTTGGATCTGAGGAAAAGTAGAGACCCTCAAGTAACCAATGGGAACTGGCATTGGGAAGGAGGGACCTAGTTTGGTCACTAGTGGACTGAGTCTGGGATCATGATGGGGAAGTTTTCAGAAGACCACACAATCCCAGGGCTGAAAAAGATTTAAAAACTTGTCTAATCAAATCACACCAGCTGCTGAAAATCCCCCCTAAAGTATCCTAGTAAAGGTGCCTCAAGGGACAGGGGGCTCACCCCTCTCCATGCAGTCCTTTCTCAGTTACCTCAATTGTGATAATGGCTGGAAGATCTTCATAGGTGATTTTCACCGCTTGAGCAGCTCTCTGTGCATGTTCTCGGGTATCAGTGACCACAGCCCCAATGATGTGCCCAACGCAGGTCACCTGGGAACAGAGCCAAACTGTTAAAGAACATAATGCACTCCTCATGAAGCAAACTATTTTGTATTATCCAAAAGGCAAAGGAAATCCTTGCTCCCACAGTGTCCTTAATGGACATTTCAGGAATGCCCTGGGGTCTTTCTGTCTTTCTCCTACTGTTTGGGATTATGTGCTTCTTCATAAGTGTTTAGAAATAATGGAACTAGAATGGGACTTGGAAATCACTACGATCAGGATGACAAATTCATTTTATCTCAGGGACCAATTTCATGATTTACTACTGGCAGCTTGTTGAGAAGTTGCCCAGGACAGAACATGGTAATTGATTAGTCATATCAGCCAGGAGCAGCAGAACGGGAGGTATGGCAATAGGAAGTCTATCTGTTGACTCAGATCCACTCCAAAACCCTTGTTCTTCAGGTGAAGAGATGCAGACCCAGAAGGCAAAATCATAGTCTCGCCCTGACTTATTACTAGACCATGACTAAATCTTAGGCCCTGACTTCTGGTTGCATTTCCTTTCTACCACCACACTCCCTTCTATTTTCTGTTTCCAGATTTACACCAAAAGCTTCTCAAAGGCAGCAGTTATGGTGTATACTTCATCTACATGCCCAGAAGCAGTAGTTCTCAAATTCTGGTTCTCAGACTTGATAAATAAACCAGCTTTTTGCTAGATTTATAGAATGATGATTGTCATTTTCTTACTACTTAAAGATTCCATTCCTTCAGAGGCATTTTTCTCCCAAATATCCCCCAAAACATGAACCAAAAAAAAGAAATTGTCCAACTCATCACCTTAGAATATGAGGTTACTGACAATAAAAACCCATACTGTCTCTGATAGTTATTTCTTGAAGACCCAGTTAAGTTGTTGACTCAATTGATTGGTGCTTTGGTGGTTTAACACAACTAATAATTCTCACTAACCATAGTGGTTAGTGGTCTTAGAGGCTCTCGAAATTTGTAAAAGCAATTTGTTTTCTGTCAGATGGAGTCTTGTGTCTCATAGGTGTAGTTTTTGATGCTCTCTTTTACTTGTACATTAATAATAAAGTGACTATGCCCTTCAGCAACACCTACTCATCTCCAATTTGCATTTCATCTGAATTAAAACTGTCAAGTGACTGTCTGAGAACTATCCTATAAGTATATGGGGTCGCTGCCATCTTGAAAGTTTGGAAACTTGTGGCGCGCGCACGTGTGTGTGTGTGTGTGTGTGTGTGTGTGTGTGTGTGTGTGTAAAAACTCCATATATGGTTGAAATCAATAGATGAACTTTCATGTAAGTGAATTCTCAATATACATAGTGACAGTATTGAGGTTTCTATTCTGGTTCATTTGTTTACCATATTTTTATTTCTTTTAATAAAGGAGCTTATTATCCCCTTAAGAATTTAATTGGTAGTTTAAAAAATAAAACTAGTGGTACTAGTTTTTCTTTAGTACCACTTTGGGTGCCTGGAGTCATCCTTCTACGTGCAATAAGCAGCCAACAATTAACCAGTAAACACTAAGTGAAAGTTAAAAGTGCCACCAGACCGTTTCCATCCCTGTACTGATTGCCCTGCATGTTGGCCAATCAGATGATGGCCACAGTATGTGCAAATGTATAATCTTTTTAAGATTAGGGACTTGGAGGAATGAGCACAAGTTAACACTCAAGCGCTCCTTCCACTAACTTCATATCTAAAAAAATCCAAGACATACCTTATCCTTTGCAAAGACCATTTCATCATTACAAATTCCAGTTATATTACTCCCAGGAACATCATCAGCAGAGATAAAGCAGACAAACCCTGGCACCTTCTCAGCTTCTGAAGTATCTATGGACCTGCAAGAATGAGCACAGTGAGGGGTCCAGGCAGGAAACTGAAGCAGAAGACTCATCGTCAACTGGATACCACTGTCCTCATGTTGGTTTTACCTCTACTCTATTTCCTCCCTTCTCCACCCACTAGTTTATCCTCTCCTATCTTATATTCTATATCCTATCCTATCCTGTCCTGTATTCCATAGGCTGTCCTAACCTATCGTATCCTACATTCCATAGGCTATCCTACTATATCCTATTCTGCAAACGCTGATTAAATACCCTGTGAAAGCCACCATGCTAAGTGCTTTGGGAAATAGAAAATGAAGACAGACCTGTCCCCCCTCCCCTGGACCTTCTACTATGGAATCAAATCACAGTGAGTAGCATTTACTCTTGAGAGCTCCAGCTCAAACCCACATCACAGCTAATACCCACACAGAATCAGTACTTTAGGGCCCTGGCAGCACCACTAATCAAATGGCCCTGAACATCATCACAAAGCCAAATTTCCCTCCCCATCTTCATGAAGCTATATCAGAACAGCAGGGCACCCTGACTATCATCAGGTCTGAGAGGGGTAATGCCTGGAGAGTGTTTTACTAATAACAGTCTCAGCCGTGTACTGCTCACACTGACCCAGGGCCCCATGCGGAAATAGAGCAGAGGCACCTCAGAGAAAGGTATGGAAACCAATTCTGAAGAATCAAACACGTCCAAATGGGCAGTCCTCATCAAGC